CCTCAGAAACATGTTCACACACTGGCACTCGCAGGGTCCGAGAGCCCTTTGACACTCTGCCACCTACCCGACCGCCCTGGTCTAAGAATCCACGATAAGCCATAGGGTTTTGACTATATTTTTTAAAACAGAAAAATGACCAGATTTTAACAGCAGTTCACTCTGGCTGGTGCAATTAGGGGTGACCTATTTACCTTATATTTTCCAAAAGTTGTATAGTGGTAAGCCATATTCCGAGATAGGAGCCTGGCTTATTAAATGCAAAAGAAACAGCACAAAGGCTATTCAGTGAACAAACATAAAACAGTAAGTCTCCTCATCTCCCGGGAGGGCCTGACTCTGCCGTGGCTCCCCAGGACCATTCACTTCCAAGCACTTCCAGTGCCCAGGACCCATCAGTCATTTCTCTAACCCTCGGCAGCAAGCAGCAGAGACGGGATCGGAACCTGGAGCAGCTAAAGCCTGGGCATTGCAGGGCGGCTGCTCCAGGCAGGAATCGGAGCCCTGGCTGCTACCTATAGAGAGGAAGACAAATGACTCACCCACCAAGATGCCTTTTCAGTTTGTCCCAGAGATGAGCTGTGCCTTGCAGCAGGCCTGCCTCTGCCTCTCTGTGATGTGGTCCATGTTTCCGCTGAGTAGTTTTGAAGAAGCCTCGGTTGCTGATTGGAAGAGGCCCAACCCCTAGCAGATCAGAATCCACATGACTAGTCTGCACCTATGTAATTTAGGGTCAAAGATAGGAAGCTGTGGCTCCACTACTGAGACCCCTCTGCCCCCAGGCTGGCGACCAACTCGCCCGCTGGGACCAAAGGCATTCAAATCTTAAAATTCTTTCATTCGCTAGTCACGCGTCTCTTTGGAGTAGTTTGGGTCTGGACCAATGCAGAGTGCATGCTCTGGTCTCATTCTGCAGAATGCATGCTCTGGTCTCGTTCTGTGTATGCATGCAGCTTATGCATGATAGCCACGGGTTCTCAACCCTGCAGAATAGGTGTCCCTGGTTTATAGATAAGAGTACCCAGAGCCAGAGTTGAATTAGCCTCATGTGCACACAGCTAGCAACTGGCATTCCCAGGCTACCTACCCAGCTCTGTCACTGTCAGGCCAATGAACCAGGTGGCTTCTGTGTGAACGTGGGTCTGACATGGGATAAGCCAGCCATCATTTAGGACGAGTTCAAGAACCAGAGTGTGGAGTATCTGAGCCTTATCTCTCTCTCTCTCACACACACACACACACACACACACTCAGCCACGCTCTTCTCACTTAGTAATCACTTGTACTCCGTGGGGCAAACCAGGTCTCGACCTGCTACCCTCCACAAAGTGCCTCTGCCCATTTGCAGTGTCCCTCGTTTCAAGGGCATTCCTTTTCTTGGAAACAAAACTAAGCTGCTTACGGGGAGGTAGCCAGTCATATGCCTTGGCTTTCCCCTGGAACACGGCAACATTTTCTAAACGGGGAGGGGAGAATCCAAGGGGCACGGCAGCCGCCTGCCGCACCTGACACTCCAGAACTCAGGTTAGGCTGTCAGGGCCTGGCTAAGGCCATTACAGCTGCCAGCAGACGAGGCTGCCTACAAGACTTCGGTGGGTGACAGGATTGTGGGGGGTAAGTAAAAAGATCCTAACCAAAGGGCTGCCAGGGAGTTGAGTGTGGCTTGCTCAGCGGCGCCCCCAGGTGTTGGTTGTAAGAATGGGCCTACAGGTTTGCCTGTTGTGTCAGACCATAGTTACCAAGAAATCAGAAACCAAAATACCAGAAGTGTTTGCTTGGTTTTGGGGCAAAAGGAAATCAGTGACTAAAAGAACAACTACTAGGAATTTACTTTAATCGTAAAATAAAAGGATTCCCCGACCCACAGAATGACTCACCCCAACCTCACAGACCCGGCTGTTGACTAGAGTCTCCTGCTGTGACGGGCACGTCCTGGACCCGTGCTGCCCCACACAGTGGCCACTAGCCCATATGGCTGCTGAGCACTTGATGTGGGGCAAGTGCAACTAAAGAGTCCCATTTTGTGGCTTTAAAATAACTTGGTGAATCTGAGTTGCCATAGCCATAGCTAGTGGCTATCTATTAGACAGAGGCCTCTGCCGCTCACAGATGCCAGCTGCCCTGGGGGACTGCAGGACTCTCATCGTCAGAGCACCACTCCTAGCTGTGCTGGGCCCGGCCAGGCAGAGCTGTAGATGGAGCCTCTGAGGAAGATGGTCAGCCAGACTCTGGGGCCATCGGGCGGGCAGTCTGCTATCCAGCAGCCTGCAGAGTTGACGCACAGCAATTCAGTAAAAGAGAGTCCAAGGCATTTCGATCTGTGGGAGGAAAATATTGGAGATTGCAGCTGCAGAAACCAAGCTGGAGGACCCCACCCGGGACTCCTCCTCCAGGCCGGCATGAGCCCCTGGACTGCATTCCCGGGGACTTCTCAGCATCTACTTGGTCTGTGATCACCGCTTTCTTCTTACTTGGTTCTAACTTGGAGCCTTGCCCAGCTGGCGTGGCTCAGTGGTTGAGCATTGACCTGTGAACCAGGAGGTCACAGTTCAATTCCCGGTCAGGGCACATGCCCAGGTTTGCAGGCTTGCTCCCCAGTGTGGGACATGCAGGAGGCAGCCAATCAGTGATTCTCATCATTGATGTTTCTATCTCCCCCTCCCTTCCTCTCTGAAATTAATAAAAATATATTTTAAAACAAGTAAATTGGAGCTTAGGTCATGTCCTCCCTTGGAGGCATTTGAGACAGAAAACTGGCCTTAGCCTGAGGCACTTAACCTGACACTTACTGAGCACAGGCTGTGTGCAGGGCAGGTGCACAGAGATGCCGAGAGAGCACCCTCAGGGGGCAGAGCACGTTGATGTAGGTGCTTGTGCCTGAAGACAGGGTCAGCTGGACTGGCCGTGAGCTCGGGGAAGTGTGACGAGCCATCTCCCCACGAGGCTGCTGTGGGGAGCATTGAGCTCCCACGGCTGGAGCTGGGAGGAGGAAGGTCACTTGTGGGCAGTGGTTTTGCTTCACTTTTCTTAGAAAAGCGCATCAATGACAACAGAAGGAAATGGGTCTGGGAGGAGATAGGCTGCCCCCTAGTGGCTTTGCTTTTGTTCACTGTCATTCTCACATTTTTTTAATCCTTGGACATCTAGCACCATGTGGGCAAACTGCGGTTCTCTAGCCACATGCGGCTCTTTGGCCCTATGAGTGTGGCTCTTCCACAAAATGCCACGGCCTGGCCGAGTCTATTTTGAAGAAGTGGCGTTAGAAGAAGTTCAAATTTAAAAAATGTGGCTCTCAAAAGAAATTTCAATTGTTGTCCTGTTGATATTTGGCTCTGTTAACTAATGAGTTTACCGACCGCTGTTGTAGCACATCCCACAGTGAGAGCACATGTTACCTGGCTCCCTGGTGTGGACATGTGTAGACTTCAAATCAGAACAAGAGCCTCAGGAAACAATACTGAACCCTCCCCACGTACATTGGCCATTTCCAGTCCGTTTTCCTACTGTTGGCCACAGCTCATTCACAACCTACTCTGTGGGTCGTGACCCACAGTTTGAAAATCCATTGAAAACTACTCACTACCTTCCCGACTTGATCGCCCACCCAGGCTTACTCCCCCCTCCGCCCCTCCCCGCCTCTCAGCTCCCTCTCGCAGGGCCTCAGGCAGGACCGGCGAGGGTCTGAGGCACCTACTCTGGGAATCATCTCCTTGTGGGTTGCTGGGGGTTGCCTGTCATCATGATGGTCAGAGAGGGGACAGTGGGTAAGGATAGCTTTTGTCCTAAATGTAGGAAGATGGAGAGAACCAGCTGCAGTTTTCAGAGTTTGTTTCATCATATGTTACAGCTCTTTCTCATTTATGGTGTTTCCACTTTGGATGAGGGTAAAAGCAAATGCAATGAGGTTGGCCTGCGTGGCCTTGGACCCATTTCTTCTGCCCTGGACACCTGGCTCTTGAGCTGCTTCCTGAGGGACATTCTGAGATTCTGTTTGTTCCCGGGTCAGAGGTGGGGGATCTGGAAGCCATGGTTAGAAGAGCAACAAGAAGGGAAGAAGTCGGAGGTGGGGCAGGGCCTGGGGGAAACGGAATGGCGAATGGCAGGGCTCTCATGGATGGCAGCGGGCACTTAGTAAGCACTTGGGGGCAGGTTTTTGCTGCCCCTTCCCCGGGGAGAGCAGAGAAGGCCAAGCAGAGTAAAGCCCCTCCTCCTTGGAAACGTACAGCGTTTTCAAGCCGGCAGAGCCTGGAATGCATCTGGTTGCATCTCCTCAAACTGGGAGAAGAGAAAACGCGAGTCTCGGGGTGGAAAGGGCTTAGCCAGAGTCACGCCGTTAGTCGCAAAGCCAAGACTGTAACCGCCTTGAAGTGGTGCCCAACACCCCCACCCCGAGCTACCTCTCTGCCCTCTGAGCCACAGTGGGCTCCAGTGGGGCGCTGACTGTCCCGCTTGGCACGGGCTGATGTGAGCTGTGCAGAGACAGCCCCAGCCGGGCACGTGGGCGCTTGTGGGTGTCCGGTGATCTAGACAACCCTGGGGACTCCCAATGCCAGCCCTCGCCACCCCACGTAGTTGCACCCTGAGAGCACATCCCCACGTCCCGCGGCCTCAGCACTCCAGCAGGAGGCAGACAGGAGCCAGGCCGGGCAGTGGGAGCTGTGGAGGCGAGCAGGCACCATATCCAGGCTGTCCAAAGGAAGCCGAGAGGCCAGAGCCGCTCTCCGTAACTCAGCTGGTGTGGGATGGGAGGTGGTCCATGTGTGTATGGTCATCCCGTCCCCTCACCTGCGGGGAAGACGTTAGGGAGATCACGCAGCCCTGTTGTCCTCTCCCACGGTGCCCTCTGCCCACAGGCTATGCGGGCCTGTCTCATGACCTCCAGATTGAAGGGTTTCCATGGGGTCTGATATTGGCTACATGACTCCAGCTGTGGGCCTCAGGTTGTGGGCCCCTGTGTGCTCAGAGCTATAATAAATGGCTATACTCTCGTGACATTTCAGGGACACCACATCGAACTCACTAACCCCCGAGGACACCGAAGACCTGGCCCTGGGGCAGGATGCAGAAATCTGCTTGCTGAAGTCCGGAGAGCTGATGTAAGTGCCCACCCCAAGCGGGGCATCCGAGGGCAGTGGGTACGGGGCAGAGAAAAGTGCCCGTCCCTAAGGGGCATCCCAGGACAGAGATAGCAAACCCTTAATTTGTCTTTATTCGCATCTCCTTTGGGGAGGCTGGGTATTGTTCCTTACTGAACATGTAGTATCTAGAAAGGTCAGAAACATTAATTGAAGGCACAATCACAGTGACGATGCGGGACTGTTCTGGACCATAAATTGTAAGACAGCCCCAGCCTTGGCGGGGTATTCGGTCAGGAAGTGACTACACACATGGCAATGCAGTAACACTTCATGTTACAGGAGAGACCTCTTCCCCACAATGGACCTCTCTGCCTACTCTCAGATTCTTTGAAAAACGTAAACATAGGAAAAGACCTTTTATGCTATAATTAGAAATAAAGCTTAGTACATGGAAACATGTTGAATGGAATTCAGTTTTCACACAGGTGAATGATTCAGATCAGAGCTGTTCTTTTTAAAGCATTTGGGTTTTAAAATCATGGATTAGTCTTCTCGTTAGCATAGCTTTGGGGTGTATTTCCATCTATCCTCAGAGCTTTGGAGGCAGACAGAACTCTCAGCACCAGCACTTGCTGTTCAGTCTTGGGCAAGTTACCTAACCTCTCTGAGCTGTAGTTTCCACCCCGGAGGCAACATATTTTCCTCCAGGAAAGGCAGGGTTGAGGAGAGAGACTGGCCCCACCCCACCACACTCCCGAGGTGCAGCCCTGAGCTACCTGCTGACTCTGTGGTATCGAAAAGACAGATAATCCGTCAAGACAGATAGCATCAAGATTTCCCCACTTCCATCTCCTCACCGGGCAAGAGGCAGGTGGCTGTCTCTGTTTGCATAGGAGGAGACTGAGGCTTAAGAGAGTCAGCCGGCAGCAGTAAAAAGTGAGGCAGGCACCTAATCCAGGCCCCTCTGGCTCACACCTCATTCTTCACATCCCAGCGGGGTCCTACCTGCAAGCAAAGGCACTGCCTGTCACTAGAGCAGCGGTTCTCAGCCTTCCTAATGCCGAGACCCTTTCATACAGCGCCTCATGCTGTGGTGGACCCCCAACCATAACATTATCTTCGTTGCTCCTTCATAACTGTCATTTTGCTATGGTTATGAATCGTAATGTAAATATCTGTGTTTTCCTGTGGTCTCAGGCGACCCTGCTAGCGGTTCTCAACCCGTGGGTCATCTAAGACCATCAGAAAACACAGATATTTACATTACAATTCATAACAGAAGCAAAATTATAGTTATGAAGTAACAACAAAAATAATTTTATGGTTGGGGGTCACCACCACATGAGGAGCTGTATTAAAGGGTCGTGGCATTAGGAAGACTGAGAACCACTGCACTAGACCCTTCAAACTTCTGGAAGAGGCTCTTGCCCACCTCGTGAGAGTGAGAGGCAGGGGCACAGCCCCAAGAAGCCTTTTTCCCCAAGGCTGTCCTACCAGCCCTGCATCAGAGTCAGGGGAGGCAGCGGAGTAGGTGGAGATTGCACTCACCTCCTCCCAGACCGGCATTACAGCTGAAACATAGCACACCTCACCTGAATCATCAACTGAAGACAAGCTGAACAGAAACCTGAAAGCTCAGGATTTACAGAAGAAGCCACATTGACACTGGTAGGAAGGGCAGAGACTCCAGAAGGGCTGGCTCACCCCCGTGGGTGCAACTGACATTCCAGAAGGCCATCTCAGCTGCCAAGGTTTCTCCCGAGGAGCGAGGAGCGAGCGGTCTCAACCCTACACCAGGCTCCCAGCCCCCAGAGAACCAGAGCCGGAAAAGAGGCACCACCGAGCATCTGGCTGTGAAAATCAGGGGATTCTGTCCGCTTTGGTTTCCTGCTGGAAGCGAAGGTGCCCTCTTTAAGGCCCAGCACACAAAATCTCCTTGGCAGATACTCACCTTGGAGGGAGGGCGGAGAGACTAGAGTTCTGTGAGGAGAGACTGGGGCTTGTGGCTCCAGGGAGAGAGCTGAAGGAATGGCCACCAGGGTCCTTGTCCTAAGTTTCTCTGTAGATGCTATCTATAGATGCTAGCCTGCGGGAAACGAGGCCCTCCCTCCCGACTCCCGGTTGTCCTGTGCAGCAAAAATCACGTCCTGCAGAGGAGTCAGCTGCCTGGGCCCTGAGGGTAGAGTCAGCTGCCTGGGCCCTGAGGGTAGAGGTCCAGAGGTCCATTCTGCCTCTCACAGGAGAGGCGGAATCTGGGACAGACAGGGCTATGTGGCTCTTCGACAGTGTCCGTTTGTTTGTTTGTTTGTTTGTTTGTTTTGTCACATGCCCAACCAGTACAGAGCCCTTCACACAGCCAAGTCTTCGTCTGTTTGTGCCTGATAAACTCTGCTGCCTCCCCCCAACAACTCCCTGAAACCCAGCCCCACCACGAAGGTCTGCAGGCACCAGCAGCTGGCGGCTAGCCTTAGTTACCCCGGGACTTAGTGAGTGGCCTCAGACCCAGCACCGATCCCGAGTTTGAGCCTGTGACAGTGATAAACACCACTCAACCCTCCCCAGTGACTCACTAAGAACCCATATCAACCTGAGTACTGCTGGAAGCTCCCTTAGTGACCGAGCCTAACAGGCAGCCAGAAGGCAGAGGCAAGTCTCAGAGTGCCTTGTACCTTTCACTAACCTGCCCCCAGGCCCTGCAGAGGCTGCCACAAACTGGGGGTTGTTTTTAAAACTCCAAACAGGTTGCCTAGGGCCAGTCACGGGCAGCATCTGACATTGACCTACACCAGAGACCCTCCCAAGAGCCACCAGAACCAACTAGTGGCAGGCGTCAAGCAACTCCATAGCAGGATCCAGTTACCTTCACAAGGGGCACCAGACCCTGCTGAGGTGAATTCTGCTTCATGCGGTCAACTCCTGCACAGAAACTCGTACACTGGTCGGGGTCAATCCTCACAGTTAGCCAGCCTGAGGGTCAGCCCCACACATGAACGGGCAAATCAGAATTAAGACTCGGTTACATAGGAGGGCTCATATAACCCACACCAGGGGCATTCCTGGAGCACCCCGTCCAGTGGTCAAGGAGATGGTGCCACTGGGTCACACCCACTACATAAGACCACCCTCTGAAGACGGTAGACATAGCAGATCTCCCTAATACACAGGAACACTAAGAGGTAGCCACAATGGGAGACAAACTTGCCCCAAATGAAAGAACAGCAGGAATGTCCGGAAAAAAAAGACAAATGAAATGGAAGCAAACAATCTACCAGATAGAGAATACAAAACGGTGGTTATAAAGATGCTCAAGAGGCAGCTGTCTTGCCCAGCCAGCCAGCCTCCCCTCCCCGGCTGCCCCTGAGGAGGCAGAGGAGTGCTGGGCCTGCCTGTGAGCGGGCGATGATGCTGAACTTTTGCGCGGCCCCCAACTGCACCGGATTTGGCCTTCAGGTTCCCGAGGGGTTCGGCCAGATACCGGAAGTGGGTGGAAAATTGTAGGAGAGCAGACTTAGAAGACAAAACACCTGATCAACTAAACATTATCGATTATGTGCCACACACTTTGAGACTTCTGTGGTCTGCAGAACTAGTCCTTATACCAACAGTACCTTTAACCCTTGAAGAGAAGGAAAACAAAGAATTGTTAAAATCTTCATTTGAAATTTTGATTCCTACGGGAAAACAAAACATACCTCTAGGTGGACATGGGGCTGATGAAATCCCAGAAGGTCTCTTTACTCCGGATCGCTTTCAGGCACAGTTGGGAGTGCCGGACAAATTCTGGGGAAGAGGTTCTGAGAAAGCGCTTTGAGACAACAGCAGTCAACACACTGTTCAGAAAGCACAGCAGAGGCGGGTGCTGGAGATCTGTGAGCGCTGCGTTCGGGAAGAAGCGCTCAGGGAAGTGAGACCCTCACTTATTTTTTATTACAAGTGATGACACAGTGGTCACAGCAGGGGAAGAGCACCTGCCCGTGTTAGTGAGGTTTGCTGACGAAGCTCATATCCTGAGAGAGGAATTTGTGGGTTTCCTGCTATGAAGCTGATACTGAAATTCTGGCTATGAAATTTCACACAAGGATAACCGAGAAGTGGGGATTCAGCGTGGAATATTGTCGTGGCCAGGCTTACACTGTGTCCAGTGGATTTTCTTCCAAAATGAAAGTTGTTGCTTCTAGACTTTTGGAGAAATACCCCCGAGCTGTCTACATCCTTCGGCTCTCCTGTGCTTTAAATATGTGGTTGGCAGAACCGGTGCCTGTTATGGGAGTGTCTGTTGCATCAGGAACAATTAAGGAAGTTTGTTCTTTTTCCCATCCGTCAACACAACTGCTTCTAGAGCTTGACAATGTAATTCCTGTCCTCTTCCAGAACAATGAAGAAAGGAGTAAAGAACCGAAGGAAATTTGCCATTCTCAGTGGACAGGCAGGCATGATGCTTTTAAAATTTTAGTGGACCTACAAGCACTTGTTTCACGTTTAATGGTATAAATCATGATACAAATATTGATGGAATAACTGTATAGCAGGCTGAGCATTTGTACTCTGTAGGGCAGTTACAGATTTTGATTTCCTTGTTACCATTGTCGTTCTTTACAATGTTCTATCTTTTACAAGAGCCTTTGGGGAAAATCTGATGTCTTCTTAGCAGCCAGTAGTTTGACTGCGGTGCTGCAATCACTGAATGAAGTGATGGAAAATAGTGAAGTTTATCATCAATTTTGGTTTGAGGAAGCCACCCACTTGGCAACCAAACCTGATATTCAGATGAAGCTCTCAGGGAAGTTCCGCAGAGACCAGCAAGGGAACCAGAATCTCAGCTGACCTCTGAGGGTTACTAGAAAGAAGCTCTAAGTGTTCCAAGAGTGGAACACATTATCCAGGAACTGGAAGATACAGTCTCACAACAGCTCCTCAAACTCTTCAATGCTGATTTCTGATCCCCTCTGTCATGGGACAGCTCGTATTCAATACATCAGAGGAGCACCATGTTGACATGTACAGATGTGATTTACCCAGTCCTGATACACTCCTCTGAGCTGCATTGTGGGAGAATCAAGTGGAAACACAGAGAAGAAGATAGAGAGCTTCCACCCACCATGTATGAAGCCTTCCACCTGCCAGACAGCAAGTAATTCCCTAATGTTTATGCATTGCTAAAGGTCCTATGTGTTCTTCTTGTGATGAAGTTGAGAATGAACGCTCTGAAAATGGGTGAAAGCATGTCAAAGCATACCTGAGGAACACTTTGACAGACCAAAGGTCCAGTAACTTAGCTTTGCTTAACATAAACTTTGATATAAAACATGACTTGGATTTAATGGTGGACACCTATATCAAATTCTATACAACTAAGAGCTACCTACAGATAATTCCAAAACTATCGAAAATACCTGAGAGGCTATGGAAATAGGTTTTCTATTACATTTGATACTGAAAAAGAAACTAAGAAATTTGAAAACATAGAAAAGCTATAAGGTATATGTAGGCCACTTAATCACTGGATATCTTGAGTACATTAGCCATTGGTAATCTGATGGTTTAAATGGCCCCTGTTTGAACTCTCGTGCTTGGAGAACTAACTGTTCTTTCAGAGGGTGGTGGAGAAAGTGCCAAGTAGCACTCCTGTGTGATCTCTGCTAAAGTCATTTTAGACAACATTTGTTATCACATTTGTTATCACATAACATTTGTTATCAAGTTGTCGGGTGTTGAGTAATCAGTTCTTCGAAGAAATAAATTTTGAGGTGTGGGAGGAATATGTTTCATAAAACTTTACAGTGAAGCTCATGACTAACCATTGAATATTAAGTATACTATTAGAAATCTGTAATGGACAGTTAAGGGAATTACCAGCTAGTGAAAGAAACGGGAGCTTGCCAAACAAGGATTTCGGGGTAGATTTTGTCTTTATTTGATGATCTTAAAGGAACAAATTAAGACCAGACAGAAGTGATTAATACAAAAATGTGAAATGAAGAATATAGTATAAGAAATAAACAGTAGGTTAGATGAAGCAGAGAGGTTTGCATCAACAATTTGGAAAACAAGATAGCAGAAAATATCCAATTAGTGCAGCAAAAAGAAAAAGACTTTTTTTTTTTTTTTTTTTTAATGAGGATACTTTAAGGAAACTTTGGTACAACATGAAATATAACAACATCTGCATCATAGAGGTACCTGAAGGAGAAGTGAAAGAGCAAGGGTTTGAGAAAGCTATTTGAAAAAATAGTAAGTGAAAACTTTCCTAATCTGGAGAAGGTGAAAGAAACACAAGTCCAGGAAGTGTAGGGAGTCCCAAACAAGATGAAACTGAAGAGGCCCACACCAAGACACATCATAAGTAAAATGGCAAGGGTTAGAGACAAAGAGAAAATATTAAAAGCTGCAAGGGATAGGCAGTTAGTTACCTACAAGGGAGCTCCTATAAGATTGTCAGTTGACTTCCCCACAGAAACATTTTAAGCCAGAAGGAATTGGTATGAAATAGTCCAAGGGATAAAAAGCAAAGATCTACAACCAAGACTATATTACCCACCAAGGCTATCATTTAAAATTGAAAGAGAAATAAATAGCTTCCCAGACAGCAAAATGCTGAAGGAATTTATTACCATTAAATCAGTTTGCCCATGTTGATCAGGTCCCTCTCTGCATTTTTTTTTTTTTTTTTTTTTTCAGGGTAAAATTGTCCTTCACAGTGGATGAGATTGCCAGCTTCGGGGAAGGTAACAGGGAGCTGTTTGTGAGGTCCAGTACCTACAGCCTCATCTCCATCCCTGTGGCCGAGGCGGGTCTCACCGTCAGCTGGGTCTTCTCCTCCGAACCCAAAAGCATCTCCTTCAGCGTCGTCTTCCGAGAGGCCGAGGACACACCGCTGGATCAGTGCAAGGTGAGGCCAGCTCCCTAACAGCGGGCCCGGGCTCGCCTCAGGACGCCTGGCCAGGCCCTCCCTACCACAGGGCGTGGCCGTTCTGCCTTCTGCTGGGCAGGCCTTTCTTGAAAAGTTGTGATAGGGACACCAAGAGAAACCAGGGCAGGAGAGCCCTCTGGGCTGCATCACAGAGCAGGCCTAGTGCCTGGGCTTGTCCTTACCAAGTCACTCACCTGCCGCACCTGTGTGGTTCATACCAGCTTGGAAAGGAGAGACGTGGAAGCTCAGGAGAACAGCCTTCAAATGTCTGAAGGTCACTCCTTTGTCAGACAGACCTTCAGATAGATTTGGTAGTTAGAACTTTAAGGAATACAGATGGATAGCGCCATGTAAGGATTATATTTTAACAGAGTTGTGCGTGCAGAGCAGTAAGTATCACTGTGAGAGATGACCATCTTCTGAGACTCCTGCTCCTGGTCATTAGCTTTGGGTGTTCAACAGCTCACTACAGAAACATAGTCACCATGTCATTTGGATTGGTTGGACTTGAGGTCTTCATGCCAGATACCAGTTCATACACTCCCAAGACATCCTAAGCTTGCAGTATTGACGGTGGCCTGGACCGCAGTTCCCAACCTGGGCCTCACGTTAGAAACACCTGGGAGGGTCTTTAGACCCACTGTCAAGGCCACTCCCCAGACCACGAAATGGGATCCGAGTGTGGCAGGTGACTGCAGTGAGCGGTCAGGTTGAGGGCCTCGGGGCTGGATCAAGGGGAGGAAGTCCAGAGTGCAGAGGTCGCTGTGGAACGTGGAACATGAGCAGGTGAACAGGACCCGTGGTGGCTGATTGTATGTGAGGTGAGGAAGAGGCTCGGAATCCATGCCTGTGCCTCTGCAGGGACAATGGATGAGAGCTGGTTTGAGTAAAAACCCAATTCCATTAGAATCCCTGAGTGGAGGGAATGGTGAGGACAGTCAGCCACGCTGGACTGGGACTAGGGGTGGATCCCAGGCCTTAATGTGCTTGTCCAAATCTCCATTTTCCAAAATTTCAAGAATCAGGATAGAGAATAGCAATTTGGGGAGCCCTGGGGGCTAGGAGTGGGGATGGGAAGGGCCCAAGCTGGAGGCAGTCTCTTTCATTCTTGCCTGAACACTGCTTTGTCCTCTCACCATTTTGGGGGCTGACAACCGTGCCACCTACCTAGCTTTGGGGCTCTTCCTTCCTGAGAGGAGGCGATCCCCCAGCCTGGAGGTCCTGGAGCATGTGGTCTGAGAATGGACGCAGGGTCACCTGCCAGCTGGGCACTGGGAGGGCAGTGTCTCACTCTATGGGCAGATAAGGAAGCTGAGGTGCATAGTGACTTGGCTGTGTGGTTGGTTGAGCAGCAGTGATACCAGTGCACTTACCAGCTCCGCGCTGACCCTGCCGCCCAGCCAAGAGCTTATACCAGCACCTTCGCTGTTCACCCTCCCGGTCCCCAGGCCCACCAAGCGCCTAGCATTGCGACCACCAGGATTAACACTGGGTGTTTGTGGCCGGGAGGGAGGAGCTGACTAAACCAGATGTTTGGGCCTTTGCCATTCCACCTGCCCACACGTGGCTGAGCCCTGGGTCTTTCCCCTTCCCAGTCACTCACCTGCCATGCCTGGGTGGTTTGTACCAGGAATCATGATCTTGGGCACCTGGGGGAGCTGTCCTCCTGCTTGGCTTCAAGGGGCCTTCCCTGGGTTATGACCACTATTGCCTTTCCCACAGTGGACGCCAGGGGGCAGAAGAAAACCATCTACTGGGGAGTGAGCTGGGTGCTCAGTTGCTCCTCTGCCTGAGGTCCCCAAACAGATGTCACCCTGGGGAAGGTCCAGCACACATCCTCAGCTTCTGTCCTGGAGACCGCCCTGTGTGGCCCCCTGACAGCCTGGGTCTTGCGAGAAACAACGGGATGCAGTGTGATTGTGAAGGGGCAGACACAGGAAGTGTGCTTGTACTTACAATCTGTTCACAACCATTTACTGAGCTTCTGCTCTGTAGGGCCTGTGGGATCTATCATTGAAGAGCAAATGATAGAATCAGAGCCTCTAGTAAATCATCCCCGTGATTTATGGGGTGAGTGTCGCAATCAGGGAGTGGGCACTGTGGTCCCCTAACCCAGCCTGGGGGCCAGCGATTGGGGCAGGAGACCCTGGGCCAAACCAAGAGAAGCCTATGGGGCCACGGGTTAGAGAGGAAGTGTCCAGGCAGGAGCAGCACAGCAGAAAGCCGGCCCCATCTCTGTGGCACTAGTCAGACAATCCCCACCCTGCCGTACCCTCTCCAGGTGACTTTCATGCCTGGACACGGAGCTTAGAGACTGGATTTGGGAAGGCACTTGTTAAAGAAACAGTATACCAGGAACTATAGTCTACCCTTGTGAGGGCACAGGCCTGCCCCCAGGCTTGGTCAGAGAAACTCAATGGCCACGTGGGGCCACAGAAGGAGTCAAGGGAAGATCCAGGACTGGGAATAGGACCTTTAACTTCTTACTTTTTAAAAAAAAAATATTTATTGATTTCAGAGAGGAAGGGAGGAGAGATAGAAACATGATGAGAGAGAATCATTGATTGCCTGCTTCCTGCACCCTCCACTTCCCCCCACCCTCCCATCACACACACACTGGGGATTAATCCTGCAACCTAGGCATGTGTCCTGACTGGGAATTGAACTGTGACCTCCTGGTGGATAGGTCGATGCTCAATGACTGAGCCACGCCAGTCAGGCTAACGTCTTATTTATCGAGATATTCATCCATTTAATATGTATAAGTCATTGGGTGTGTGTGTCTGTGTGTTGAGTATATTCACAGAGTTTTGCAACTACCACCACTGTCTACTCATATCATTTCCATCATATCCCCCAAAATATGGACCCATTCGCAGTCCTTTCTAACCTCTACCAGCAACCACCAGCTTACTCTCACTATGGACTTGCATGTGGATGGACATTTCATGTGGATGGAATCAGCCAGTATGTGGCCTTTTTAACTGGCTTTTTCCATGTAGCATAGAACCCTTGCTTTGTACCAGGACCCCAAGCCACTGGAGCCCATAGGAAGATCAGCTAAACCAGTGGTCGGCAAACTCATTAGTCAACAGAGCCACATATCAACAGGACAGTGATGGGAATTTCCTTTGAGAGCCAGATTTTTTAAATTTAAACTTCTTCAAAATAGGCTCGCCCAGGCCATGTTTTTTTGTGGAAGAGCCACACTCAAGGGGCCACAGAGCCACATGTGGTTCGCAAGCCGCAGTTTGCCGACCCATGACTTCATGATAGTAGGTCCTCATGTGTCTCTGTCCCCTCCAGGCTTGTCTTGGGCCCGTCCTGCCCCCTCACCACCAGCAGCTTCCAGCCAGAGCGAATGTCCTGCGGTGACAGGAACACGCCCCGTTCACTCTCCCATGCCTTCGGGACCTCCCTTTTGGTTTCTCTTTTCCTCGTGTGTTATTCACAAGTGTGTGATGTAGTTTCCAAGTATTTGGGGATTTTGCAGAGATCTATTCATTTTTAATCTAATTCCATTGTCAGAAAACACACTTTGTATAACTTGAATCTATTTAGATGTAAGGTTTTTTTGTTTTGTTTTGTTTTTTTAACAGCCTGATAGAATACCTGGGAAATGTTCCACGTGCACTTGGAAAGAAAGGTGTATTCTGCTATTGTTGGGTGGAGTATTCTATAATAATCAATTAGAACAAATTATTGACAGTGTTGTTCAAGTCTTCTATTTCCTTTCCTTTTTTTAAGTTTACATTTTTTATTGATTTTTAGAGAGAGGTGAAAGGAGAGACATCATTGTGAGAGAGAAACATTGATTGGTTGTCTCCCATACATGCCTCCCAATCAGGGATCGAACCCACAACCTTTCAGTGTTCAGGACGTTGCTCCAACCCACTGAGCCTATTTTCTTATTGAGTTTCTGTCTCCTAATCCCCTCAATTATTGAGAGATATTGAACTATCCAACTATAATTGTGAATTTATTTTATTTCTCCTTGTAATTCTACCTTTTTTTTTTTCTTTGTGTGTTTTGAAGCTCTGTCATTAGGAGCATAAATGTGTAAGAATATGTCCTCTTGATGAATTGACATCTTTATCATTATGAAATTATCCCTGGTCATATTCTTTGAGCTAATACTCACTTTGATATTAATGTGGTCAGTCCAGTTTTCCTTTGACTAGTGTAGCATGGTACATCTTTTAATTCCTTGCACTTCTAACTTGTTTGTATCTTTACATTTAAATTGCATTTCTTATAGGCGTGATGGGGTTGGGTCTTGCTTTTATCCAACCTGATAATTTCTGCCTTTTAATTGGGATGTTTAGACTGTTTACATTTAATGTGATTATTGATGAGGTTACGTTTGCGTATGCATCTTCCTATTTGTTTTCTGTTTGTCCTGTTGGTGGTTGTTTCCTTTTCCTCTCAAAGCAGTGAGCTAAGACTTGTCTTATTCTCTCAGAGATCCCTGTCCTTCATTGCCTAGTGTCCAGTCTCTTGAAAACTGCTGCTTTGTATAAAACTGGGGCAACAGGAAATGACCAGACAGACGGATTTCACCTAGAATGGCCCCAGCTTCCTAAAGCCAGAAGGGACTGCTTCTGCAGATGGTGGGCGTTCTGGGATGGCCATGGTCAGAGGGGCTGGGGTCTACTCCTTTGGGGTGTTGTCCAGTTCATGATCTGGATGAAACTCATGCCTACCCTGCTACAGGTTATCAACAAGCCATGGCATGTGGAAGGCACCCCACTACCCCTGGGGGCTGATCCCAGCCCAACCCAGCTCAGCTCTGATGGTTTTCCTTACCTGCTTTCCTCCCAGGTCCTCATTCCCACCACCCGATGCAATTCCCACAAGGAGAGCATCCAGGGCCAGCTCAAGGTCCGCACCCCAGGCATCTACATGCTCATCTTCGACAACTCCTTCTCCAGGTAGGGCTCCTCATTCATCAGATTTTGGAGTGATGGTCTCAAGAACAGAGGTGGACATTAAAAATAGATTATTTCATTATCATTCATTTATTATTAAGAGCTCTGATTTTAGACCCCTATACTGCAGTGTTCCGATGCGTTACCAGTTTTATAAACACACAAGCTGATACTTGTGTCACATACAGTCTTCCTACATGTCGGGTATGTTCTCAGCCCTCCACACTTACGGACTCACTTCAGCCCCACAGCATCCCCAGGGGGTAGGGACCGTCTCTCCTAATGTTATTGCAAAGGGACTGAGGACCAGAGGTAAACGAGTGACATTCCCAAGTCACACAGCTAGTGATGGAGCCAGATTGGAACACAGCTGGCCAGCTCCAGACTCTGGACTCCACCGGCATGCTCTCCTGCCTCTCTCTGATGTCCAGGTTCCCAATGTCCAGGCCACAGAAAGGCTCAGTAAACACAGTGGAAGGATTCAGTGGGTGGGTGGGAAGTGACAGATTGTTGAAGGAGAGAGGAATAAAAGAATGACAGCTAAAGCTGGGGATTATCAGGACTAGAATTGTGAGGCGAAGTCTCACTTGTCAGGGAGCAGGGGCATTGTGTGCCGTCTCTTGGAAGCCCGGGAGCAAAGCAGCACATCCAGGTCCAGGAGAGGAGGGCCTGGGGCGGGAGAGGGCAAATAGGGCGATACGGCTTGGAGGGCAGCCAAGGAAGGCCGTGGGAGGGGACTGGCAGTGGATGAGCATTGCCCATAAGCCAGAGCTCACAGAGACATGAGCCAGGGGAGTTACGGTTATGGTCACCCATCCCTTTGGTGTCCTCTGGCTCCAGCATAAGCCCTTAATTGGGGCTGCCTCTTAGCAGACCTGCCTGGTCAGCACGCAGCCACGTCTCTTCTGTGTGGTGCCCAAGCTAGTGGCCACATCCCCCCACCTGGGCCCCTGTCCCAATCCACTTGGGTTTTTAGCAGAATAACTGGATAGAGCAGTCCGAAAGTCCATGGTGATGTCCCAGGGCCCTGATTCTTTGCAGAAAGAGAGCTCAGCTGGACAGATAGGAAATGGGGTGCGGCCCAGGCTCTGAGCAGAGATCCCCTCAAAGGGCTCTCTGTGCCAACCCTCACCCACCAGGCCCTGCAGCCTCGGCCTCTCGGCTCTCAGGGTAACACCCTCCATGTCCATCTCTGTTTCCTCAGGTTTGTCTCCAAAAAAGTGTTTTATCACTTGACGGTCGACCGGCCCGTGATCTACGACGGAAGTGATTTCCTGTAGCCTCCGCACCTGGATTTCAGCAGTTTCACTTCACCCACAGGAAACACTACTCTCTCACCTGCCACATAAAACACTAAAACAAAAACAACAAAAACAACCCAGCCACTCCAAGCTGATCAACTGTGCCACTCAGCGACACCCTGGCTGCTCTCCCAGCTGCATGGTCCCAGCAGCATGCGCTCAGCTCTGTGCTTCACGCTCAGCTCCCGAAGGCTCACGCAGCCTTTCTCTGGCTGCCTCACCCGAAGGGGCACTGCTGGAGGGCTCACCACTCCTGGGGAGTTTCACAGGCCCGAGTGGTACCTGCTTCTGCCCATGGGAAGAGTTGCCCTGCTCTGCCAGCCTGGCCCGGCATCCTGAGAGACCATGAGCCAGATGCCCTTGCCAGACCCGGTGAGGCCTTGGGTCCCAGGGTCATCATGACAGTCAGGGCGCCAGGGGCCCTCACGAGACCTCAGCCAGCCTCCTCCAGCCATGTTCCTGTCCCTTCCGCCCCAGGAAGTTCTGCGTTGCTCCCACACTCGGCAATTCCAGAGGCGCGTCCAACTGCCCCTTCCTCCTGAGCCTTCTGCTGGACAATTCTGTCTGCGAGCAAAGCCCTTCATCACCAGGCCTCCCAGATCTCCCCTAAGAATCAGAACTGGAAACAATCTTGTGTTCAGGAACAGAACCCACCAAACACCAATTAACGCCAATGTGTGGCCAGAAAGCACACTGATGGCCTTCGTTTATACAAATAGGAGCTGCCTCGTGTGCAGATACGTTTACTACTTAATGATCATAATCAGGATTTTTAAAACGGGCCTTCTTAAGTCTTGGGTAACTCACGTGTAAACAGGCACAACTGTGAATCTGCTTTTTGTTCACCTTTCTGTCCCTGCTCCCCACCTGCCAGGTTCCCGGCACCACTCGCCCACTTCCTGCTGCTCAGCCCGAACCTGATGCCCAGGAGCCACCTCCCCTGGGGCAGATGTTTCCTTTTCCTGGTCTCTGGCCCTCGGCTTTCCCTCCTCCCCCCCCCCCCCCCAGCAGCTCACCTTTGATGGCCTCTGTGCCTGTGGAGGGGGGGGCAGCCACAGCCTCAGGCCTTCCAGCTGAGCAGAGCCCACGCTGACCAGGGCTGAGGGAGAGAGCACTGGGCCCGGGCAGACTGCTGACCAAGTCACAGCCCCTCAGGCTGCACTGTCATCCATGAGCCTTGCCTGACCGGTTCCGAGAGCTTGAGGCTGGGTCAGGGCCCCCTCCGCACTGTGCCCCAGCAGGGCACTCCTGGGGGCCGGGGTAGGAGGAAATGGCTTCTGCGTTGGGCTCAGACCCGTCATCCAAATGAAGACCTGAGCACTTAGGTTCCTTTAAGTGGGGTGTGGGGAATGGTGAACTGAACCTTCAGGAGAAAACCTGGGCCTGTGCTCTTTCCCTGGAGCCACCAGAGCTGTAGCATTTATGGCCAGGGACCTGGTGGCACTCTGCACCATAACCACACAGCAGGGCCCGGAGACCTCACAGCACGTGCTTGTCCTCAGGTGTGCCACCGCCCAAGATTGAAGGTTTCAGGGCTCTTGTTCTGCCTTTGAATCCCCTTCCCCTTCCAGGAAAGTGTAACAGGAAGTAGCTGGCTCACCTGAAAGAAACTAACAGTTAAAGGAGAACGCAGAGCAGTCTGGGATCTGGTGAGAGCTTAGCTTTTGCAGGATCCCGGGGAGACGGGTCCAGCTGATGGCTTTCCGCTGCCACCGCCATCTGCAGCTAGAACCAGCATCTAGTGAGGAGCCGATGGTTCCTGTGAAAGGCCTGGGACGTTCTATTTGCCATCCTCCTGCAGCTTTAAGACCATTTGGCGGGTCAACCCAGAACCACTCCTGGGCTGCAGGGACCCTTCATGGTGAGCACCCCTGGAGCGTTGACTGCAGTCGCAAAAGGGCTTTCGCTGGTGGGAGGACTGTCTGTCCCCAGGTCACAGCATATTTTTGTGTGTGTTGGATGCACTCTTGTCATTAATTTGCGTGTGAGCTCAAGTTTGCTGTGCACCGTGCAGCTGGAGACCGCCTTGGCCTCCTGAGCTGTGGCTTGTGGCAACAGCTTTATTATTCTAAGCAGGGTCCCCGCTTCACTGAGGCTTTGGGGTTGGGGTACTTTTTAAAAACACAAATGACAATGAAGACCTAGCGAAGGTGGTAGCTCAGCCAGTAGACAAAATGACACTAGCAATCAACCAGGAGGAAACACCTTGGGTCCCGGGTAATGAAAAAGTAAAACAGCTGGCCCAGCTCTCTGAGGGAGTCACTTATTTTTTTAATATTGATGCTGGCTGGCTTGTTCACTACAGCCTCAGCAGCCACCACCAGTCTAGCGGCCTGAGCACGTGGCCTCCGTCGGAAAGCGGGTGAAGTGTGGCCTTACAGAGCCCGCCACTGGGCCAGGAGCAGACAAATTCTCCAGCAGGAACCTGGAACGGGAAACCCCCACGGGCTTTGGGAAGTGGAAAGAAGCCTCACACTAACTCAAACATGAAGGGGATGGTTTCTCCAAACATGTCCGTTGTCACCAACCGAACGTGGTGAAGCCATTCCACTCACAGAAAGTCCCGGCTGGGGATGAAACCTCAGTCCATGGCTTATGGTACCGGTTAGATGTCCATTGCTACACTCAGGACTGTCGTTTCTTAAAGTCTGCGTTGGTGACTCCATGTAGGAATCCCATCCGTGGACTAGGGTTGAGAATTGCAGCAGAGAAACCGTCTGTGGTGCTCAGAGCCGAGGGTTGACCTTCACAATCACTGCCGTCAGCTGTCCACCTTACAAAACTCCCAAAAGGCGCTTTTTAGCGGAACTTTGGGTTTTTCTTATTTCATTGTGATTCTTTGAAGGAAATGGGAAAGATGGAATAAAGCCTTTCCCCTGTAAACACTTTAAAAATAGTGAAATATATCTAAATATCGGGAGGCATTTTGATAAAAAGGCTTCCATAGAACCTGGCTGTCCAGACGCTCTGGCCTGGTGGCTGCGGAATTGCACTTTCATCGACTAACCCTCAGGGGGCTTATGGGATAGTGGGCCTGGGAACCTGGTTCACTCTTACCTGCCAAAGAATTGCCCAGAAGCACATCAAATGCCAGCACCCCACCTGCACAGTGGGGGTGAGAGCCTTTTGTATCCCCAAACATTTCTTTATAGCACCTGCTGCACCGTTTGGAAATGTATTTTTAACCTCAGGATTTAAATAAACACTATGACATTGAGAATGGTGTCGTCTTTAATTCCATTGGGATCGAAGGCCCACGATGAAGTTACCCAGGCCAGTCAAGTCAAGCTGCCTTGCTGGGAGATTGGTTCTGAGAAGTCGCTTGGCCTGATCTCGGTATTTCCCAGGCCACTTGGGCGGGTGTTCAGACCTGCCTGGGCCAGTCCCCGTTCCAGCCCACAGCGCTCCGCCAAGCAAGCTGCCCTCGGCTCACGTGTCCCAGACAGCACTAAGAGCAAAGGGCAACGTCTCATTTACCAGAATAGTGGGGTTGGGAGGCCATGGATGGCTTAAAACCACAATTAGTCCACCTGTGGTACCAGGCCGGGCAGCTGGCAGACAAGGAGCACAGGCTCCCAACTACACGGCTCTAGGGGGGTCAGGCCCAGAGCGGTGTCCCAGTCACTCCTGGACGGCCAGATTGAGGTCACGCCACATCTGGGGATGCCCGGGCTCCTGCCCTTGGCTTCCCTGTGCCTCACAGAAACCTCCCAGCTCCTTTCGCTGCCACCTTCCCCCTGCCCCCAGATTCTCCCTTCCCTTTAATCGGCTATTTCAGAGTAACTGCATCTGTGTACTGCCTGAGTGATTCGATGACCGAATCTTTAGGGACGCTGATGGGTCCTGATGCTTTAATCAGCTGTAAGCCCTCAGCAATCCCATCGGCCAACTTGGTGAGGGACAGAAGCTCCTTGATTTCCCTTGGCCTACGAGAAGTTTGGAAAGGGTGCAGGTGAGGTGCAATCAAAGGCCCCGCCTCCTGTCTTCCCTTATGTCCTCAACCCAAGCCTCCTACTGTCCATTAACAGCCTGAAGTGCTGGAAGATTGGTTCATCCAAGCACCCAGAACAGCACCGAGAAGGGGTCTCTGTAGATGGAACAGTCCCTCCAGAGGCTTGGTGGCTTTGCGGGCTGCGGGCTGGAGGCTGTGTCTGGGGCTGGGATCTAGGGGGCCTCCATGTCAGAATCCCCATCGCACCTCCCCCACCGGCCAAGCAGCCCAAGATGACTTAAGTCTGCTCCAGGCTTGCCAAGGCCCATGCTTGATCCCAGGCTCGTGGCCAGCTCAGCGCCACCAGCTCCGTGGCACGTGCAGGGACCACGTCTCAGGCCACGTGCGCCCCTCGGTGCTGGGGAGGTGGCGATCCCCCGGTGACTCAGAAGGACACTCGGCAGGGTCAGCCCTCTCGGTCTGAAGATACGTGGGAAAAATCTGGCGCCAGGAGCCCGCCGCCCACACACATCCGAAAAGCCCAATAGAGAGTGAAACCGGTCGCGCCGTTGAGAAAACGGGCTTCTTTGGAGGGAGCACTTGAAGCTGAAGCCGTGAAGAGGCAGGGGGCGGGCACCGCTGTTCTGAAAGCCGTTCGAGGCGGGTGAGGGTTGAAAGAAAGGTCAGCCTTTTACTTTTCCCACGCCCTGTGCTTCTGGAGGAAGATGGCAGAGCCGCCGAGCAGAAGCGCGCTGGCCAACCTCGGCCTCTGATGTGTGTCTCCTCCCTCCCCACCGCCGAGCCCCGTGGGAGGACCGAAACCGTGTGGTTTCCTCACACCGTCTGGCCCGTGTGCACTGAGGTTAGCTCCGAGGTCGCAGCCCCGGCGGGAGCCGGGAATGAATGGTTTTCTTGGCTAAAAAGGGAGCCAAGTGAGGCCTCACGAGACCCGTCCTGGCCACGTTTGGCTTGGGGCCCGTGGCTCCAGGGCCTCACCAAAGCCAAGGTGGGCTCCGGAGGCCCTCCCCAGCTCTCTGCCCCCAAGCAG